AGAAAATGTTGTTCACCTTTGATGGTTAGTATTCCATTTTATATTTCAAGGAAAATTACACCTTTTACCTTCGACATCCAAAGATAATTTCATACCTGTGTTTGGCTTCCTTCCACCCATGGAATTGTAGCACTAGCCTTATCTTTCAAAGTGAAGCCTCAGTACTTGTGACAGTTTATGCTAATTAAGAACTTGACAAAAATTCAGAATTGCTTGGGAAATGGGCCTCTTAGCATTCCTGTGAGAATTTATCTTGTTTATGTTAGTTGATATGGGGATTGATCTTAATTGCCAGTAGGACTAATTCTTGGACAGATGATTTTGTTTAAGATGGCGAAAGCAAATTGATCACCAGCATATATACAATCATTACTCTCCATTTCTGATTGTGGGTGAGATGTGACTGCTACTGCCATCTCTTTCGGCTGTGAAAACCCCACCATGATAGGCTATAACCTTGAACAATGAGTTCATTATCCTTTCACCTATATGGTGTTTTTTCCAGAGTATTTTATCACAGAAACAGGAACAAAAAATAAGACAGAATTTGAGTCTGAGAAGCAGGGCTATTGATTTGAAAACCTAACCACACGGTTCTTAGGCCTTCATAAGTCTGTAGGGGTGAGAATGTGGAAGTATATGGAAATTTGAATTAGAAATAACTTTGGATGCTGGAAGCAGAACTTACTGTGTCATTTTCGTGGGAGTCTGGAAGAAAAGAATGATGAGAGGAATGTAGACAATGAGGGCATGGCTCATAAGGCTTTAGTGTAGAGTGAGGGCTCCATCAGGAACTGGTGGGAGGCCATTTGTATGATATTTTGTCCAAGAATCTGGCTTCATTTTGATCATGAGAGCTACAATGAGGCCCTCACAGGAAATTGAATGAAGCTTTAAAGGCAAAGCCTGGGTTGCAGTGGTGATTTCAGGACAACAGAAATACCAGAGCTTTGAGATTCTTGCCAAGGAAAGCCAAGGCATGGTGGAGCCAGCAATAGGAAGGCTGTGTGCTAAAGGTGGCAGAGTTAGAGATAGATAGGGAGCTCCCCAGGTTCTTTTGGAGCCTGAATGATTCTACCAAAAGCAATAGAGGTCAGATATGTACTAAAAGATGTTTCTCTGTTGGATTTTGATCTTTCTTTGATGTGATTGTTTCTTGCTATCATTTTGGAACAGTAATGTTAACCTTGTATCAAAAAAAAAAAAAAAAAAAAAACCCGCATTGGAATTTGGTACCTTTGGTTTCCAATGGACATCTTTTGCTGAAGACCCCTTTCTTATATCTCCTTAGACGTGTAAGACTAATTCCTATTATCAATGTTAAGCTTCAATCTTACTTTAGAGACTTTCCAGAGGATTCTAACCTTATTTGATTGACAGGCAAGCTTCCATCTAAGGTTTAAATGCCTTCCTCTAGTAGTTATCACAGTGTAGTTTGGATGGAAGGTTGTTTTGTATTATTTGTTTAATACTTTACTGGACTTCTTTTATTGACAGCTTTGTTCTTCTCCTCACTGGTATGGGCTACATCTTTGATCACACCATCCTGAACATGTTTGATTTCTGATCTTAGAAATTAAATCTAATTGGGACTCATATATAGATAGGAGATAGGCATGGTCCTCACTAACCAGAATGTGGTGTGGAGTTGGATCTTCACTGGAAATGATTATTTAAGTAAATCTTTCCTGGTTTGTATGTTTATTATCTTTTCACCTAGCGTTCAGTATCAGGGATCCACTTTGCATGACTGGCAGCTCTGTCATCTACAACATTGTTACATACTTGTTTAGAAGCCATCAATCTTCTTGATATTTACCAAACTATTGCTTGCCATAATGATGATGTTTCAAAATTTATGGATCAGTGTTTTTAAAAGTTTTAATGTTTCTTTCATTTTTCTTCATAACTTTGTCAGAATCTCAGGAGTAAGTTCAGCAGATTTTATAGGCTTCTTATGCTATTGACAATCAACATTCCTTAGACATATTCTTGGAAAACAACATATTTGTGGATTGAAAGTATGGTTTAATTATTTATGTGATTATTAAACCAGCATAAGAACAGACTGTTCTCATCTTAGAATGTTTCTCACCAACCTCATGTACACAAACCACCATGCATTTGCTTATTGGCATATATTTGGGGACCTGTGGATAGCAGCTTCAAAGATGGCCTCCAATGATTCCTTCTCCCTGTTATTTACTCCCTTGCATGAGTCCTTCTACTATTCAGAGTTGATCAGTATTACAAACAGGATCCTGCAGGAGGGTTGGTAGGTCATTTCTGTAAACAGGATATAAAATTCACTACAACTTCCATCTTGGTGATTTATCCTCTGTATTTCTCGGATGTCTCACTTTTGTGGAAGCCAGGACTATGTAGAGAAGCCCTATGGGAACTCTCTGTGGCAATGAGCTGAAGTCTTCTCACAGCTGCTAATGAGGACTGAAGACACCTGCCAACAACAACATATGTGAGACATCTTAAAATCAGCTCTTCCATCTCCATTCAAGTTTTCCAATGACAAATTACCAGTTGACAGCCTAATTTAATCTCATAAGCTACCCTATATCAGGACCACCCTGCCCCTGCAGCTGCATTTCTGATCTTGGAAAGGGTGAGAGAGTAAATGCCTGCTGCTTTATACTGTTAAGATTGGGCAGGGTATTTAAATTAAATAATAATTTAAGTATTATTAAATTTGTTATTTTAGTAATAAGCAGCTAATACACGTCCTATTCTCTATCTACTGAATCCTAAAGTAGAGCCCAGGATTTTTCATTATTATCAAGCACCCCAAAGGTGATGCCAAATTTGTGTATTGATGCCAGAGAACCATGCTGTTACCAGTGGTTCTGAGAGCCAAGTATTTGTAAACCTACATTCATGAACACATCTAACAACAACAACAACAACAAAATAACAACTTCTGAATCTTTAACAAACAAAGAGCGGCGGTTTCTCTTTCAATGTTTCTTTTTGAATTGTGGTTATTATAATTGTTCTGTGTTTTGAGAGTGGAACACTATTGACGGCCAGATTCAGACATTTATGTGTAAATGTAACCTTCAGGATGACTCTTGGAGCAATGATTACCACTACTCCTGATCTTTAAGATTAACCACCAAAATCAAAGAGCCCTGACTTTACGATAATTACTTGGATGAATTAGGAACTGCTCTGAATTCTTTCTCTTCAGTCCATTTTCCTTTACCAAGCATAGGGTCCAACTTTCTAAGATCAAAGGAAATATTTTCTTTTTTTTCTCAAAGCTAGAAAGCCATTAATATCCATCTCTGTAAAGCAACCCAAATGAATATTTCAAAAGTGACTTGTATAATTAGCAGAATTTCACAACAGTGTCAGCATTCATGTGGGGACTGTCTGTAGGGGCGTCAGGGAAGCCCGGGGTGGAAGCCTTAGGCAGCAGTGGCCTGGTAGAGTCGCCTTCGTTTCTCTGCATTGAGCCTGCTTTATTTCTGAATTGAACATGCCTTTCTTCTTTATGAAACAGGAATTAATTAGCAACTATAAAGAGCCACTTTGTAAATTTTGAACATTTGGTGAGTGAATACTGTCACTACCACCTTGGGCTTATGGCCACACTACAGAAGCCAAAAGTACTACTTTATTACTCTTATTTTACTGGGAATGAAAGGTGATACATCAGATTCCACAGCTGTATGGATTGCGCTAGAGAAACAAGCATTCACAAAGAGAATCTGGGCGATCACAGAAACACGTTCTAAGCATCCTTCCTCAGAGGAAAGATGGGGAGACAGGACTCAGCCAGCAGTGAGGGAATGAGCAGTAGGGGGAGCTGGTGGGAACTCACCATGGACATATTGAGGGGTACCTGTGGCTTCAGTGAGCAGCAAACATGTGTGAGCCTGTGGCTGTTAGCCATCAGAGCTGCTAGAGATGTGAAGGATGCATGTAAAGGGAGGAAAAGGAGATGACACCTTCTGGCACTTTCTCTCTCCTATCACACCAGATCATATTCTTGGAGTAACAAATGCTTCCTCACCATGGCACCACAAAGCTTCCATTTTAGACCACATCCGGTTTAAGACCATTTGGGAAAAGATTCTCTAGTAAAAATACAATACAACCAAAATGATAATTTAATAAAATGATAAACATAAAACAATTCTATATAAATTTAAAAATGAAAATGGTTGTGTTAGCATTGCCTTCCATGTCAAGAGACTAGATTACAATATTATTTCTTTCTTAACTAACTTTATGTTTTAGTTACTTATTTTCCTTCTTTGACACTCATTTTTCTTATATTTGTAATAATTGGTGGTGGGTACAGGTGTAGTGAACCAGAGAATTTTAAAATGGTTTCTATCCAGGATATGCTACTATTTCTAAACAGTCAATCTTTGTCTTTTCTTCTACCTCTTAAGTTGTGGTTCATAAAAATACTATCTTTAGAACAGAGTTATTTCTGAAGTACTTGCCTTCCACAACAATGTTTTATTTTAACTCTTGTAAAAATCACCTGCCTTCTATGTAGACCTCAGAAACAAAACTGAATTTATATAGAATTTTCATGTGTTGGGGGTTCAGTGCAGAGTCCACAGTTAGATGTCTCAAAGAATTTTATTTCAGCTGAGAATACAGGAGGAGCCACCTAGCTACATCGTGAAATAACTGAAGGACATGATTAAACATACTGATTCCAAACTTAAAAGAAAAAAAAGAAAAACAAACAAACAAACAAACAAACAAAAAACAGGGCCAGGTGGTTGTGGTGTACACCTTTAACCCCAGCACTTGGGAAGGCAGAGGCAGGTGGATCTTTGTGAGTTGGGGCAAGCCTGGTCTACAACCATGGCTACACAGAGAAACCCTGTCTCATAAAACAAGACAAACAAACAATAGCCAAACAAACACCACACAGATTTTTACCTAATTGATGCAAAGATGAACCCTGGCAATATTTGTTTTTGTTTTATTGTTGTTGTCTTGTTTTGTTCTTATCTTCCCAGGATATTGTGATGCCCAGCAAGCAACGATAAACTTGACATAATATACTGTGGTAGAAATCAAATGTAAGGCTAATTTTACCTGTCAAGGAGTACTTCAAAATATGTCTTCTTCAGACTTGTTATATTACTGTATCTGTATAACTAGAAGTCAGAGATTCTCAGCACAGAGAATTTTTCCTAATGAGCTATTTTGGTGGGTCCAGGTAAGCTTTCTTTCTCTTTTTTAACATAACTGAGTAGAATCCCTTAAAACGAAAGGCCAGACACTAAGGAACTGACTGAACCCAAATAACACTTTAAAAATGATTATTGTTTAGTCCTTAGATAGTAGAGTTTCAGTTGTTGGATACCCACATCTTCATTCCAATGGTCTGCTATTGCTATTGGTTCATCTCACACTTATTTTGGTATAATAGTTTATTCTCATCCTACAGATCATGTTGGTCCAAGTGCATTACCCTCAACAACTAGGCCAACCTTGGCTCAGGCTATAACACATCTTTCAAGTGTGTTTCCATTCAGCCAATGCTCTAGGTCCCAGTGCCCTACTCACTCTTAACTGCATCCTGGAGATTTCATTGTATTCTGAGAAGATGATTGGGTACATCACTTCCCCAATGTGTGACAGTTTTTGAGCAACAATGAAAACAGATGTTACAAGAAAAGCATCTCTTAGATCCAGCATTTCTTTGTCTCACATCCAGAATGTTCATTGGATAAGTAACCCCCTTTCTCTTTTATACCTTCAAAGTTTGTACTACATGCTAGGCCTGCAAATCAACCCAAGAGAGTATGTGGCACAGTGAATTAGGGCAAATAGATATTATAATAAATATTTGTAATTTGCCAAGTCTAAAGAAACTTCACCAATACTACATCATTTCATCTTTAAAATAGTTATATAATGTAGGTTAAACTGCTATTCTCCTTTGCAAGAACCTGAAATGGAGAAATTGATCTAAGACACATTAGAAAGTGGTGTCGCAACAATGGAGACTGCTTGGCTTGAGGCCCAAACTCTGTCTCTCTCTGATCTACTTTTTTGTCATCTGTCAGATACACATAATTGTGATTGTTATGCTGATGGTTAGTTTCAGTTGAGAACTTGACACAATCCAGAATAACCTGGGTAGAACTGTTCAGATCCTGTTGGCTTGTAGGCATGTCTGTCAGTGGCTGTCTTTGGTGCCTTAATTTATATGGCAAGGCCCTGCCTGCAAGTAGATGACATCATTCCCTGGCTTGGCGCCCAGGACTGTATAAAAGTAGAGAAAGCTATTAGGTATACACGTGTTCGTTTCCCTCTGCTCTTGACTGCAGATGTGATGTAACTAGAGTCTTCATGTCTTTGCTGTCTTGACTTTCCCACCATAAGAGATTGTACACTGCAACTGTAGACTAAAAGAACACATTTCTCCACTAGGTTTCTCTTTACCAGAGTATTTTATTTGAGTAATAGAGATGAAAGCCAGGACGCCATCTTTGCTCTTCTTCATTGATTTAGATAGTTGGTGAAAGCCAAACACCATTGTTCTTTTCTGACACTGGGTGGCAGAACAGATGAATGTAGATTTTGGTATGGAACAAATTGGCTTTAAGGCATGTAAAGTACTCCCAAGATGAATTTCTAAAGCTTTCTGCTTGGGTTCCTAGTTTCTACTTTCATGTCATTTAGGTTAAAAAAAATCAAACTCCTGATCAAACCATTGACAAATATAAGGAACTTGGATGAATAAGGAGTCATCCCTTTTTATAGAATAACTTGCTTCTATTTGTTAATATGAAGGGAGAGGCTCGAGTGAAAATTTAGGTCCAAGGTCAATGCAGTGCAAAATGTAAAAAATAAAATACACCCTTTATGATACTGTAACTTGTACACTTATATGTCTAAAAATTAAATATCTGAAAACATCTCCTTATAGACAGTTTTTTTTTCTGGGTACTGGAAATTTGCTAGATTGGGTATTTTCATAAATGCTTTTTATTATAATACTTACTAGACTATTACTCATATTGAGTTCAAATTAATCTTATATGCATATTCTTTTAAGGACAAAGACTCCTATTGTAGTCCAAGATGGTCTAGAATTCACCATCTACCCAGCTTCACCTTGGACTCACAGCATCCCTCCTACTTTAGCACAAATGGTAGGGTGAGAGGTCCTTTCTCTCACCACTCTGTACTTTTCTTTATTTTTGTTGCTGAACAAATGGCAGGAAGATTCATCTTTTTTATACTGATTTCATTTATATTAAAATGAATTTAATATAATTATTGGATTTCAATTATATTAAAAACCTACAAGATGATAACATGCAAATAAGTTATCAATGACTCTAAACCCAACATCCATATGCTTCATTAAGTGTTTATCTAAGCAAATGCTTTTCACAATCATTACTATTATGTTCACTTTAAGGATGTTCTTTATGAAGAACAGAAAAAGGAGAAAACAATAGAAATGGGTAGAATATAAAAATTATTTCTTCCCAAATGAAGTAAAATTTAGAAGTATTATGAATTTCTGTCACATTTAGAAATGCACACCTAATTTATAGTTTTCTTTGGAGGATATCTTTCCTGATCTGATAGCTTTTAATTCATTAGGAATCAAACAGTAGGCTGGACTGAGATTGATTTTGATTGACTTCTCCTGTTCACTGTAGTCCCTCCTACTTCCAGCTTCACCACACACATTTGCGAAGGATACAAATGAGTACCAAGAACCACTCCCCAGCCCTTTGCTAAGAGTCAAGGGTAGGACAGAGAATGGTGTTTTGAGTAATTCAGAACAAGCTAAATAACATGCCCTGCAAGTGATAAAGAAAAGATTCAGCTTTATCCTCAGCTGCTTCCCACTGCTTTAGAGCAGAGAGAATTTTATATGAACGCACCAAGAAAAGGAACGAGGTGCGATGCACGAAGATTGCAAAGAAACCATGTGAATTAATCTACATGACCAAAAAGCTTTTTAAAAAATCATGGCAAACTCGACATGACTAGTGAACATGTATCTTTTATTTGTCTTTTATCACCATCCTCATTATTTATTATTGTAATTTCTCAGTTAACAATTAATATTAGAAAGAGAATGCATTAATTTGTACCCAAGCCAGTGTCAGTCAACACTTACAGACTTCCCAGTGCCCTGTCAATGTACTTCAATCCTTCCTTGTTGAGCTTTCTCTAATTGACTCTAGTGGAGCAAATCCAATTGCTTCTTCCACTCCTTATGCACATATGTAAAGAACGCTACCTTTAAACCACTTCGGTATAATTTTGTGCTGCCCACTTCTGATACACTAGACAGAATGGCATCACCTGAATTTTTTTCAGTATTTTATTTTTAAGGTCATTTGATTGGAATGATGTTATACCATTGTTTCAGGACAATATTAATGTGATATCCTAGAGAAGGAAAACTGGTATATTATTTGACTCCATCATCCAGGCTCTCTGAAGCCACCATCTGTTTTGTCTGCAGGGTTGATTTATGCCTGAGAAGTAAGTGTCAATAACTTGGTTTTGATGGGTGCAATACTGCCAGGAAAATGGATATAGTTGAACATCAGGCTATAAAGAAGGGTATGAAACATAATTCAAATGGGCTTCATGACACTTGTCCCACAGACGACACATATTCTCTTCATTTCCAATTTCACTGGAACAAGCAGGAAGAATGGTTTCCAATCTGTCCCACCTCATAAAAATAGACCTGTGTTTAATTCTCTAGGACCTAACATTATCCTTTGGATATTGTCAACCAATCATGCAAGGAAAACGTTTCTAGCCAAAGTAATAGGAATCTAGGTATTGAGATGGCTAAAATATGACTGTTACCTTGTTTTTAATGATCGCACAAAATATTACAGAAAAGCAAATGTGATGATCATTGTGAGATAGCTTGGTGTCTCTCCGACTTGAATTGCACCATTTTATCAGGAGCATACTGCAGTTTTCAAGTGTATTATTTTTCAATAGAGGAACACCTAGCTTTGTTGTTGTTCATTATTCTTTAATGCAGTAAAGGAATTTTATTTGTCAAGGCCTTACACCTCATCTTTGTTACAAAGATACATCTTTGTAACCAAAGATGTTTTATGAAACAAGCTACTCTTATTACTGATTATAGCCGAGGCTGGAGAAGAGAAGTTCCAAATGAACTCCTGTTCTGGCTTTGTTTAATAACAAATTACCATAAATGTCTCATTGCCAAAGTGCAGTGCATAGGAAGAAATTAGCCAATTAGATTTCTGAGGTTTTGGTATTCTCTAGGAGAATCTATTAATCCTGTCACATCAAGCTGTTATGTATAAACCAAATGTCTTTATAGGAATTATAGCATTCTGTTTAAAAACTTGGGCATGAAGCCAAGAGTAATTTTTAATCCAACTTTATTAGGAGATAAAGAATGTGTAATTTATATTATAAAACTGCCTATTGAACAAGTAAGTACATTTATAATTAATATATTTCCAGAATTGGAAATGGTGAACTAGCGTTACTTTTACACACACCACACACACACACACACACACACACACACACACACACACACACACACTATACATATATATATATACATATATACATATGTAGTGTGTGCATACAAATATTAGTTAACAAATGCATAATTTCAAGTTTTTCTGAAAGGCCCTAATATAATCACAATCTTTTGAACATAGAGAAATAATTTAGTTTGTTTGTATATTTATTACAATTTTTGCATTTTCTTCTGTCAGTACATGAGTGATTTGTAGGAATATACATACACAGGATACACTTGTGTCCAGGTGTACAACACTGTGTTGACAAAAGCCCCAGCTGGTACTGGAGTTAGTGGACTGAAAAACTCACCACAATATTTGGAGGATTTTCTTTTGATATCTACTGTCATTAAGCTATTATAAGTATTGATACATTTCTTTTAACATTATACATGGATTAGAAGAAACTGTGTTTCTGTTTCATTTCCCTTTGTAACAATGGCTTTAATCATTAACAAAAGAAATAGGGAGCAAGCTACATTTGCATAACATTCGTCTTGTATGAACATACCTATGATGAGTGGGAGTATTCTAGCATAAGAAATTTAATTATAGAAATATGAGTTGATTGCTCTGTCAGAAAGTTAAAATCAGTTTGTGGTATTGAGTAAATTCCAACAACTAGGAGTTGAAGCTACCTGAAGGAGAAGAGAAGATAAAGGTAGGGGACAGAATATGTTCTAACAATAGCAACTATCACCAGAAAATCATTCTAAAATTCCTCTCTGTTCCCGTACAGCTTTGGTCTGTTAGAATTATCATATTTTCCCCTTTAAGTGAATTTCCAGCTTGAATAATATAGAGGTTGGGTCAAGTCTATACTTGGGATATGGAATATAAATAGATAAATGTGCTTCGTGACACTATTCTTTCAACAAAAGGTTTGCTAAAGAGATCATCTATATGCTAAAATAATTAGTAGATCTGTTAGAACCTTGACATAAGTTTGCTGAAGTTTTGAAACTCTGAAAGGACAAAATTAGGTTCTAGGCAATCATAAATCTCTCTTTTCTTGCTTCATCTGCTTCATTATCCTTGGTGACTCTTGTTATCTAGAAAGATATTTGAAGTGAAACAGAGGATGAAAGAAAGAGACACCTTTTCTCCATTGACTGATGGAGGCAGATGCAGAGATCCACAGCCAAACACCAGGCAAAGCTCCAGAAGTCCAGTAGGAGAGGGAGGAGCGATTCTTCTATGAGCAAGAGCATCAGGATCATGATGGGGAAACCTGCACAGACAACCAAACCAAACTAGTGAGAACTCATGAAAGTTGGATCAATGGCTACGGAGCCTGCAAGGGACTGGACTAGGCCCTCTGCACGGTGAGACAATTGTGTAGCTTGATCTGCTTGGGGGCCACCCTGGTAGTAGAATCAGAATCCATCCCCAGTGCATGAGGGGGCTTTTTGGAGCCCACTACTTATGATGGGATACCTTGCACAGCCTTGAGGCAGGGGGAAGGGCTTGGACTTGCCTCTACTGGATGTGCCTCCACATGGGAGGCCTTGCCTTCTTGTGTGTGGAGGAGTGGGGGGTGGGTTGGGGGAGAGACTGGGGGCGGGGGCGGGAGGAGGAAAGAGGGAGATCTTTGATTGGTGTGTAAAATGAATGAAAAATGTTCTTATTAAAAAAATGAGACATTTCCACTTTTTCTTTTCATATATTGTCTCCAACCACTTTCCACAAAAAAAGAAGAGAACAATTGGAAGAGAAGGAGGTGGGAGAGCAAAAGGAATGTGAGAATGAAAACATATATACTTTCTTTCATTTGTAAATATATACAACTCATTTAGAAATTGCTGAGCTGTCCTTTGCTAGGAATCAATCATTTGGCTAGTGTCTCACAGAAATATCTTACTCACTCCTCAATTCTAATCATCAGAACAGTCTATTCTTTCATCTAGAAATGATTTTATAACCTGAAAAAAAGTGAAAATAATTTTTCTTAATCTCTCTGGATTACCTACTAAGTGTGAAGTGTTCCACTGGCACTTTCTCCAAAGTACTAGTCTCATTTGCAATTTGCACTAGCAGAGAAATCAAACTTCAATGAATTACCAGCCCATGTTAATCATGGTGTAACTCTATGTAGTTTAGAGAAATTATAAAGGTTGAGGATACATAAGGGACACATTTTAAAAATATAGTACTAGATGGGATGGAGGCATTGCTCAGCTTTGGAATGCTCACCTATTATGTGTCAAGATTCAATGCTCATCACTAGAAAATAAAAGTAAAAAGGACTGACTAGCTGACTCAGCAGGTAAAGGAACCTGATATACAACTGGTGAGTTGGATTTAATCCCCAGAGCCCAGATAAAGATGGAGACCTCTGATCTTCTCCTGTGTGCCATGACATGCATGACCATACACACATATTGTGTACACATTCACATACGAAATAATTACACATGAAATAAAAATAAAGAGGTAAATGCACAAATGGCATGGCATGAGAAAAGGAGCCTAATTAAATTTTATTCTCTCATTTTAAAAGTCAGTTTTTATTGTTTTTAAGTACTGTACAAAATAATAGATGTCACCATGTGATTTTCATGCACACATTCTCTGTTGGTTGTTCTCTGCAGCTCTCTTCCCTCTTCCCCACCTCTTTCCTGCTGCTCCCTCTTCACTTCCTACTAGCCTCCTGCTTCATGCGTCCTGTGCTGGCTTACTCCCTTCCCACCAACATTTTAAAGATGTTTTTGTTTTTTTGTTCTCTTTTGTTCCCTGCTCATATTCCCCCTTACAGTGTATGGCCTATACAGACATACATGTACAAATATATAAAAAAAAAAAAAAACTTTAAATCTAGAATCCACATTTTCAGCGAAAACCCTTGTCTGGTTGAAACAGAGACAATTCAGTTAATAGTTCCACCCTTTAGATGCCATAGTTTGATTTTTTTTATACAGTTGAATAAAACACCCTTTTGCACATGCACCACATTTTCTTTACCCATTCACCTATTCCTGGACATAGAAGTGGATTTCACTGACATCATAGCAGTTGGGAGGACAGGAGCAATAAGAATAGATAGGCAAGTACCTCTGCAATATGACTGAGAGGACGTTGGGTACACACTCACATACTCATGAGTTATTAGCTGGAGAGTGTAATTATTCTCTTTTTAAAAATTTGAGGAGCTTCTATATCAACTTCCACAGTGGCCAATTTATGTTTCCAATAACAACAAAGTGTTGTTTCCACATATCCGTGCTAAAATTTGTTATTTTTTCTTTTCTTGGTGCTAGTCATTCTCACCAAAATGAGATAAAATTTCTAGGGAGTTTTAATTTGCAAACCTTCTAAGATGTTGATTGGCCATTTTTTTTTTTGAGAATTGACATCCATCCATTCCTCATTTATTGCTTGAAAAAATTATTTTTGTTGTTTAATCCCTGCACTTGACAAGAACACAGGTGACAAAGTTTTCTCAGTCTTCAGTCTGCCTTTACAGTCCACCAAAAGAGTTTCTTTCGTTGTGGTAAACCCTTTTAATTTCTTCTGATCCCATTGGCCAGATTTTGTGATTATTTTCTGTGCTACTGGAGTCATTTTCAGAAAGTTTTTGTTTGCCTGTATTGTGTCTTGAATTGCTTTCCTTGTTACTCTAACTGCTGCAGAGTTTTAGGCTTTATATTACAGTCTTTAATCTGTTTTGACTTGTTTTGTATGCACTATCTATACAATTCCTAGCATTAAAATATAAACACAGCATTTAATTTAATGCTCCTAATACAATCACTAACTCAAGAACTGGGAAAAATTTAAACATTTTAGGGAAAAGCCAATACTTGGATATGCTTATGGTAATCAAAATGATTTGGGATAAAATACCCTGACACAAATACATTTCAACCAAATTATAGAATTATTTACTGTTAGGTGGTTTGGAGATTACCTGGGTTTTCCTGTAGTTCTTTACCATTTCTTAGAAGTTTTGCTAGAGAATCGAGGATACAGGTGTTCCCAGGGTTAATCTACATTGCCACTTTGCTAAACAAAACAAAATGAAATCCTAGAAATATGTGTCTTCTGCTACTACATAAACAATACTGCATTTCTACTTTTGAACCTGATAATTTAAAAAATGTTTTGACTGCTTTTGTTCATCTCTAAATGAGATTCCCCCATTAGAGTTATTTAAGTTGAGACACATGAAATCATCTCTGTGTAGAGCTTCATTTGCAGCATTTATATAATATATGCAAATAAAATCAGAGTTTCTGTAGCCTCTTTGCCTCTAAAGGTTAGATTTTTCTAATTAGAATCAAGCAATTAATTTTGAAACTCCCCCTCCATTTTTTTCTGGAAGCATTGCCCTTCTTTGCCACAAGTTTTTAATTTTATGCTTTAACTTATGAAATAATTAAAACTTATGCTTGAATTTATACACAAGATAACTGACTTGCTTTCACCATTGACCAGTGCAATATGACTCTTTATGATTGGGTGCCTTTCTGCTATGTATGAACTTGTTGATGAGCAATGCCAGGACAGATAGAGTGTCTATTTTCTTTGTGAAAACTTAAATCAAAAGGTGCTAATCTACTTGGGTAGAAAGTTAACAGTAATCAAGATATCACTCATAAATTCATAAAGTACTTAAGTGTAAAGATAAGAAAACATGAGAATGTTGCCCCCATTTATTTAATTAATTTATATAAAAATAAAAAGGTAAAATTTGAATGCAAATCAAGAACACTAAATAGTTTTGTTTTCATATTCTATTAGGGCTCTTTATTCAAACAGAAATTATACAATCACTATACATTAAAAGGAGCCTTATCCTATTATCTTACATAATACTATTTAGATAGTCCAGAAATGGTAATCTTCACATGGTGGGTGTGGCTGAGAACCTGATAGCTACTCAGCCCATGAGACTTGGTGCTGAGACTTTCAGTACTCCCAACTGGGAGCTGAAAGGCTGGAGGATTCCATTGGAGCTGTTAGTCTTCATTGCACACAGGAAGCCTTATAAACCTGAGTTTTGATATCAGTGAAAGAAGGAAGCAGGGGTATTAGGAGCAACTGTGATAGCAGCAGAATAGATGAGCTTATCGTGAGATATGAAGACAACAAAGAAAAAGGCAAAGCCTTTCCTTCAGACCTACCTTCTTCTGAGCAGGCACCCGAAGATTCCATCCAGGGTTAGGGTAGGTCTTTCCAGTTCAAACAACTTGATGGAGAAAATTACTCACAGGGGTACCCAGCTGTTTAGATCCTAAGTTGATTGCAGGTCCAGTCACATTGACCACCAAGATTAACCATCACCTGTTTTTGTTTTTTCTTAATTTTTGTTGAAATACTACAAGTATTGTTGAAATGACTGATTTGCAATACAGGGTCACTTTCTTGGTAACTACATGACTCTCATGCATTTTCTGTCTCATGTTTAAAATTTATTAAAATATTACTGGTGTTTCTGTTCTTATCTTCACTCGTTTAATTGTGTGTATGTAAACAAATGCCGTCTGAGTAACTGACACTCCAAGCACTAGACACTTCCCTACCTCTTAAGGTCCGTGCTTTAAATACTGACACACTTATGGCAGCACCTTTTAGAGTATAGTTAAGTCTGAGTTTTTGTAGCAGTTACTGCCTTTGAGGAGCTAAGATTTCTTTTATAGCAATGCTTCTTTGAATATTTTCTTTTTTGTTTTATTTTATGTGTGTGAGAGTTTTGTTTGTTTGTTTGTTTGTTTTTTCTGCATCTATGTCTGCACACCATCTTCATGTCTGGTGCCCTTGGAGAACAGAAAATGGCACCAAATTCCTTAGGACTTCAGTTACAGATGGTTGTGAGCTACCATGTGGTGCTGAGAACTCAGTGCAGGGCTTCTGCAAGAACACCAGGCACTCTTAACTACGGAGCCATCTCTCCAGCCTCTGCGTATTGGATTTTAATGTTCCCAGGAATTCTACACTGATGTAATCATTGTATTCTAAAGGGGCAGGGTTGGGGTAGGGCCTAAGATTTTGTTTTCAAAAGAGCTGGATAGCTGTGGTGTGTGGGACAGAACTGTAGACTAAAGGCTATTTTGGTTCTTTTGAGTAGCTTTCTTTGCACACCCATAGAATTTATTAATTACATTTTTGCATAACCTAATCACATTATTTTTTCATTTACTGGCTTCTCTTTGCTTCATATGCAAGATTTGGCTTGCTGTAATATCATGTGAATCTGCCTTGTTATGTTTTCTTGAGATATGACAATGAATTCAGTCTATTGAGTTTTCTGTTCCTATCATTTATGAGAATATTCATATAACAATAAATACTTGATGAATTAATGCAAAAATGGCTACATCATCAC